ATGTGCCAGCAATTCCCCTCTGCCATGTACATTGGCCAAACTGGACAGTCTCTACATAAAAGAATGAATAGACACAAATCAGACGCCAAGAATTATAACATTCAAAAACCAGTCGGAGAACACTTCAATCTCTTTGGTCACTCGATTACAGACCTAAAAGTGGCAATTCTTCAACAAAAAATCTTCAAAAACAGACTCCAAGGAGAGACTGCTGAATTGGAATTAATTTGCAAACTGGACACCATTAACTTAGGCTTGAATAAAGACTGGGAGTGGATGGGTCATTACACAAAGTAAAACTATTTCCCCATGTTTACCCCCACCCCCCGCTGTTCCTCAGACTTTCTTGTCAACTGCTGGAAATGGCCCACCTTGATTATCACTACAAAAGGTGTTTTTTGTCCCCGTCCCCCCCACGCCCCCCGTAATAGCTCACCTTAAGTGATCACTCTCATTACAGTGTATATGGTAACACTCATTGTTTCATGTTCTCTGTGTATATAAATCTCCCCACTGTATTTTCCACTGAATGCATCCGATGAAGTGAGCTGTAGTTCATGAAAGCTTATGCTCAAATAAATTTGTTAGTCTGTAAGGTGCCACAAGTCCTCCTTTTCTTTTTGCGGATACAGACTAACACGGCTGCTACTCTGAAACAACACTTTCAGAAGACGAGCCTGGGAGCTGGAATTCATAACTTTGCTAGACGCTAAAAATCATGGACTAAATAGACACACTGGATTTATGGTTTATTACAATAAATTGTAACCTACTTTCACCCCCTAGCTGCCTTTCCCTCCTATGACTAGAGGGGTGTTAAAGGGCCACTTCACCTTGAATTGTCCCTTGAAATATGTGTTAACCACCTATGCTAAACAATCTGTTCCATCTTGTATTTAGCGGGGACACCCTGACGGCTGGTCTATACTACACAGTTAGGCACACATAAGGCAGCTTATGTCAACCTAATTATGTCTACATCTACACTACAGCCTTCCTCCACCCTACTACACCTCCACGAGAGCTGTAAGGCTTATGTCAGCGTAGTCAGAGTGACACAGTGTCTATGAAGACACTGCATCCTTTACATTGACTCTGGGGGAGAATGGACTCTGCCCCCAACTGGGACCTGCGGTGAGAAGCTCTGGTGGCCCTCACTCCCCACCAGAAGCTAGGCATCCTTGTCAATTTCATGGTTCAGTGACAAGGCTGCCTGGCTCCAGGTGGGGAGGAGCAGGGGAGGATTGAGGGCCGAGAAGTCAGGGCAGCTGGACTTAATTCCCCAGGGGGGCAAGAAGCCACTGGAGGCTTCCCGCAGCTCACAGCAGGGAAGGGAGAGGGAAGAAGACCCAGGTGGCTTCCTCCGATCCCAAAGGGGAATGGGGAAGACAGAGGGGGCAGCCCACTGGGAGTCCGGGAATCTGTGGGGCAGCCGGGCTTTCGGCAGGGAGCAGCCAGAGGAACTGAGAGACCAGGCTCTCAGCTCCCCATGATGATCCAACCAGTGGACCAAATTCGGTGATGAGTCCTGATCAAATGACACCTGAGGCATGTTGCACATATGCTAAAATGACTACCCTTCTTGGGATAGTGGTGGAAGCGCTCCTGGTGAGGATGTGCACCACAGACCCAAGGAGGGCAGTGTGGATTGATGGTTGTAAATCGACCTCATATAGGTCAACTTACATTTCTAGTGTAGACATGCCCTGAATATGTTTCCCAGACCTGAAAAAAAGCTCTGTGTAAGCTCAAAAGCTTGTCTCTCTCACCAACAGAAGTTGGTATAATAAAAGATATCACCTCAACCACCTTCTCTCAGTTATTTCAACGGGCCATTCAAGGTGAAGTGGCCTGTAAACATCCCTAACAAACATGAAGGGGAAAGGACAGGAGAGGGGAAAAAGCAGCCTGGAGAGGCGGGGTGTTAATGGGTTATAGATTGGGATGATTTAGTTGGTGTTGGTCCTGCTTTGAGCAGGGACACTGTTCCCTCTAAGCCAGGGGTCGGCAACCTATCGCACGTGTGCCAAAGATGGCACGGGAGCCGATCTTTAATGGCATGCTGCTGCCTGCCAGGTCCCAGCCGCTGGCCCCGCTCCGCCCACTGCCGAACCCAGGCCAGGACCCTGGCAGGCAGCAGCAAGCCATTAAAAATCCTGCCCTCCCTGGCGCACTCCTCTCCGCCGCCGCCCCCCCACCCTTCCCCGGGGCAGGGTGAAGAAGCTTGCTGCTGCAGGGCAGGCAAGGCCCCCCCTCCCCCAGCCTGCTGGGTCCTGCCCCTCCCCCTCTCCCTCCCTGGATCCAACCTGCTGATGGCCACTGCGAGGGAGGGGGAGAAGCAGAGCCAGAGCAGCCCTGCTCATGGGAGGAGGCCGAGAAGAGGTGGGGGTGGGGGTGGGGGTGGGGGTGGGGATGGGGGGGTGGAATCAGGGCATATCCCCTCCAGCCCCGTCATGAGCCACTCTGGGCTGGGAGCACCCCCATGACTCCAGCCCACACCCCCAGCCCTCTGCCCTGACCCCTGCACCCCCCTCACACACTCCCAGCCCTCTGCCCTGACCCCTGCACCCCCTCACACATACCCCCAGCCCTCTGCCCTGACCCCTGCACCCCGCACCCCCTCACACACCCTAGCCCTGACTCCAGCCCCCCTACACATACCCAGCCCCCCACAGCTTTTGCCAACTCCTGCACCCCCTCACATGCCCCCAGCCCTCTGCCCTGACTCCTGCACCCTCCTCACACACTCCCAGCCCTCTGCCCTGACCCCTCCCCACCCCCACACAACCCCCAGCCCCTCTGCCCTGACCCCTGACCTCTGTACCCCCTCACACATACCCCCAGCCCTCTGCCCTGACCCCTGCACCCCTCACACACCCCAGCCCTGACTCCAGCCCCCCTACACATACCCAGCCCCCCACAGCTTTTGCCAACTCCTGCACCCCCTCACATGCCCCCAGGCCTCTGCCCTGACTCCTGCACCCTCCTCACACACGCCCAGCCCCCTGCCCTGACTACTGCACCCCCACACACATACCCAGCCCCCCCAAAGACCATGCCCTGACTCTTGCACCCCCCACATTCCCACCCCCACCCCTCGCACCAAACGGGAGCTCCTGCACCCCCCCCCCACATTCCCACCCCCACCCCCTCGCACCAAATGGGAGCTGCCCAGGTAAGCACTCCATCCCCAAGCCTCCTGCGCCAACCCTGAGCCCCCTCCTTCATTCTAGCTCCTGACCAGACCCTACACCCCAACCCCCAGCCCTGTGCTCAGTGCACTCCCACCCTCAGCTCAGTGCGGAGAGAGAGAAAGAGAATGGGCTAGAACCAGGGAGAAGGTAGGTACCCGCTCTATGTGGGCCGGGATCCCAGACCGGCAGCGGGCTGAGTGGGGCCGGCAGCCGAGACCCTGGCTGGCAGGAGCCAGCGGATGGAACCCCAGACCAGTAGCAGGCTGAGTGGCAGCAAGCTGAGCCACTCAGCCCACTGCCGGTCTGGGATTCTGGCTGCCGGCCCCTTGCCAGCCGGGGTCCCAGCGAACGGAACCCCAGGCTGGCAGCAGGCTGAGCAGGCCGGCGGCGTAAGATCAGCATTTTAATTTAATTTTAAATGAAGCTTCTTAAACATTTTGAAAACCTTGTTTACATACAACAATAGTTTAGTTATATAATATACAGACTTATAGAGAGAGACCTTCTAAAAAACATTAACATGTGTTACTGGCACGCGAAACCTTAAATTAAAGTGAATAAATGAAGACTCGGCACACCTCTTCTGAAATGTTGCTGACCCCTGCTCTCAGCTGTGCGCGTGTGCACACAGATCCTAAACCCCGCACACATGGCGAAACACCGTGCACACAAAAATTTGCACAGAAGCACAACAATTTGCACAGAAGAAATTTTTTGCACACACGGCCTGTCAAAAATTAGAGGAAACACTGAGCAGGGGGTTAAACTAGATGACCTCCTGAGGTCTCTTCCAACCCTAATCTTCTATGATTCTATGATTGTTATAATAAATCATGATAATAATTATAATAAATTGTTATAATAAATCCAGTGTCTCTAGTCCATGATTTTTAGAGTTTAGAAAAGTTATGAATTTAAATTCCCAGGCTCATCATCTGAAGGTGTTCATAGTACAAGAACAAAAGTTACAGCTCAGTATCCAGACAGTTGCATATAGACTCAGTGGAATAACCTGGATAAGGATCAAACTGTGATAATGTTAGTAAGTGTTTCAGCTGCAGCCAATAGTCATATCTTCACTAATGATTATATGTAGCTGTAAAGTTAAAAAATATAACAGAAGTTCAAGGAATATTTTTTTATAACCTTAATAGTTAATTTAAATTATATTTTGCATAATTAATCGTATCATCATTTTTTCCCATCTGCTATTTTTCAAAGCTACAGGGGGACTTCTGCAAGAGGTGGGAACAGGCGCCCTCCCTTCCAGAGAGGGCCAATAAAGACATCCCAAGCAACAGGAAAGAATACTGCTGCACAAAGATGTATAGCCATGATGTTTACAAAACACTTACATTGTACAATTATTTGTGAAGACAAATATTTTGGTTTTCTTGCAATTATACAGTTGAAATACAAACCAGGAACATTTAAAGCAGTTCGTTTTAATGTAGGTTTGAATAAAAATGTTAATTGTTTCTAAAACCACACTCAGATGCTTGTTTTGGCAAGAAGGTAATGTAAAGCCAGCCACTCCTTTTTCTACCTTGTCACAATGGTCACCTTTTCCAGGTGAGAAGAACCCCTCTCCCTGTCCACATTTCAGAAGGTAACCAACTGGCGGATGGGGGCACCGCCGCGCGAGTTGCGACCCCCGGGCCAGGGGGCTGGGAAGGGCAAAGGCAGCCAGCGGCGGCAGGGACGAGGCAGCTGTCCGCAAGCGCGGCGAGCAGCGGGTGGCGCCGGCGGAGCAGGCTGCCCCCGCCCCCGGGCAGGGCGAGCAAAAGCGCCGCCTTGGCCGCCGCCGCCGCCAGTGCTCGCCCTGCCGCGGGGCGCGGAGCAGCACCTCGCCCTCGGCCCGGGCCAGCGCCTCCCTCGCCATGCAGCAGGAAGCGGTCAGCTGCCGCATGAGCGGCGCGGCCGGGGAGCCCGGCGCCCCGGGGGCGATCACGCTGGAGGAGCTGGACAGCATGGCCGAGGAGCAGAGCCCCGACGCGGCTGCTCCCAGCAGCTGCTCCCGGGCGGAGGAGGAGGAGGAGGCGGCCGCCGCCGAGCAGGAGCGCCTGCTCAGCTACTGGCAGAGCGTGGGCAGGGGGCACCAGGTGGACGTGCCCAGGGGTAAGGACCCGCCCGCTCGCCGCAGCCCGCTCGCCGCACGGCAGCGCAGGGGTGGCCCCCGGGCTCCCCACCGGCGGCCCCAGGTCCCAGAGTCAGAGGGGGGTGGCTGTAGCCGACCGAGGGCTAGAGAGACCAGACGAAATGGCGAGCATGGAGAAGAGGCAGCGCACGATTAAAAGGGTTGTGTATTTTGTGGGGCAGCCCCACTTCTCCTCTTCATCTCCATCCTCGGCCAGTTTTTCAGTCTGCCACCATAGATGCGTAAAACGGGAGCCAGGATCCAAGGCTCCCACAACAACTCCGGGTGACATTTGAGGTGGTTAGTGCTCTTGCATCCTTTTTAAGGTAATTTAAAGGCCATCCCAAAATTCAAATTTAAATTTGAGCCTCTGTACAAGTGTATTTAATTTATGCAGTAAACGAATGTGCCTGTAAGTGATGGAACAGTGTGAAGCTGGGTTAAACCTCTTAACAATAAAAACAGTTTAGGATTTAGCAAGATTACACAGAAGGAACTTGGAAGGAAGGAGCATACTTATTAGAAACGTGATATTCCAATTCTTTTGGGAATCTTACAATACTGTCCTACCATTAACAAATTTTACTTTTGTTTTATGGACTATGCAGTTTTTTCAAATGCTGTGTCTGTATAGTGAGATTGAAAAAGAAAGGGAAGAGGAACAATGATCCTTCCAAGGAGGAGCAGGGAAGAGATTACAATATGTGTTATCACGGTGACAGGTTTCAGAGTAGCAGCCGTGTTAGTCTGTATCTGCAAAAAGAAAAGGAGTACTTGTGGCACCTTAGAGACTTACCAATTTATTTGAGCATAAGCTTTCTTGAGCTACAGCTCACTCTCAAGAAAGCTTATGCTCAAATAAATTGGTTAGTCTCTAAGGTGCCACAAGTCCTCCTTTTCTTTTTGTTATCACTATGACTCTAACAGAATTGGCTTCCAGACTAGTGAAACTGAAAATAATGTGTGTACAGTTATAAGGCTGGTAGGGGTGAAAGTTTACTCTTGGAAGAAAGCGGATATATGCCTGTGACTACAGGAAACGGTCAGGGAGTGGGCTGTTTAGATTGTGGTTCTATTATAATTGATCAAAGAGCTTGCACCAATATTTTTGAAACAGTGACTTCTGTGAGGCTGCTGCTAAATATCTGGTTTACAAGCCAACTTTTACACCTTCTAATTTGTATTTGTCGTCACATCTATCAAAAATTTTAGTCACTACCATCATGAAATTTCCCACAGTAATATTTTAATATGAGGGTGTGGATAGGGAGAGCTCATATTAAAGTTTGTTTGGTATTAGTTATCATGTAACAAATATCGCCTTTTGACTATAGTTAAGGGAATGTAAATTAGACCTCTAGTTTCAGGTGTTTTGGGGAAGTTACACTTCCAGTTCTGAGACATGTGGCCTGAACCATCAAGAACAGAGCAGTGTGCATATGAGATAAGTGGATCAGAACATGGATAAACAAAGTCACAGCTAAAACTTTGTTCAAAGTAATTGTGGAATTTTTAAAAAAAATTGTTTGGAGTAATTTTTCAGGTCCTAGGAACCTGACTTGTTTGTAGTGCAGGACATACACTAAGTAAAAAATGTGGACAGCTCATCTCTAAATCAGAGTTTGGGAATTTTCTTTGGTTTTGTTTTTTGTAAACATCTTTGTCACCATCCTTGATCCATCCAATGAAGTGAGCTGTAGCTCACGAAAGTTTATGCTCAAATAAATCTGTTAGCCTCTAAGGTGCCACAAGTACTCCTTTTCTTTTTATTTTTAGTGTTTGTAGAAAGTGACTGATACTCTATTCCTGTCGCAACAGCGGGCCCGATAGTCAAACCAATGCCTACCCACTGAACCATGGCAATGGCAAACGCCTCAATATAACAAATACAAAAGTTTTCCTTTAGTTATAAACACAGCTCCTTCACTATCATCAGAAGCAGGAAACCTGTAACTGCAGGTATTTCAGATTACTTTATTCCAACTTAAGAGCCTCCTTACAAATCTTTAAAAAACTGGCAAAACCAAGCCTATCCTACTTGCTTGAAGCATCCAGTTGCTGAATTTTAAAGTTATTAGCTAAGATATTTAATGCCATCACAATATAAAAGGCATTGTGTATGGCATATACCTGCTTAGGTTAGTGACTGCCAAGTAGAATCCTCCTCTCTTTTCTCAAGTGAAGCCCACAGTAGATCTGATGAATTTAGATCAGGTGCCTGGTAGGACATTCAGTATCTGGTGAATGTATATACTAATAAGACCCACCACAATTAGAGGTTACCAAATCTTCATATTAACTGACTTCTAAACCAAGTCCCGTCAAATATATCAGACCAGTCCTACCCTCTTCCAACTGAAATCCCACCAAAAAGACTTGCTTCTTCTATAACACTCACATATAGTGTCAATCCTAATTACCATTTTAATATTTAAATAATTGAACCCTCAAGATGTACACATAGTGCTGCAATTCATCCTTCTTCAGCCTGTCCCCTCCCAAAGTTATTTCACATCTTATGTCATGTCTGAATGTTAAGCTTTAAAGGACATGTACCATATGGCTCAAGTACCAATCACACCTGTGGGCACTATTTTAAAAATATAAAAATATATATGCTATACTCGTTTTTATGTATAAATCCATAACAAATGTTCAAATTTAAAAGCAGTTTGAATTGAGTAATATGTATTTTACTTCACAGTTCCATAATACAAGTTGTTTGGCTGACATTCCAAAGACTTACCTTCAGGCTAAACATGAAAAATTTCCTCTAATGGAATTTTTTTTAAAAAAGGTCACCAGAAGGGGTGAAATAGAGCTTATAAAGAATACCTTATGCTACGGAGATACTTCAATATATCAAAAACCTTATTCCAACTACTCTCCTGAGATAAAGGTAAAAAATCCTATTACTATAAGCAGCATAGACAAGAATGTTATTCAGTGATTTAGCTTGAATTAATTTGCTTTCGTACAAAATTTTTTCTATCAACTCTCAATTTGTGTCATGTTATATATTTTATTGGACCAACTTCCATTGGTGAGAGACAAGCTTTTGAGCTTATACAGAACTCTTCTTTAGATCTGGGAAAGGTACTCCGAGGGCTAATGCAGCTGCACCACTGTAGCATATCTGGTGAAGACGCTCTAAACCAGTGCTTTTCAAACTTTTTGTATTGGTGAGCCCTCTCACATAGCAAGTCTCTGAGTGTGATATTCCCCCCCCCTTATAAATTAAAAATGGGGAGGTAATGTAATTTAATGGGGACTTGGGGCTGTGAGCCCCACAAAGCTGACAGCTTGTGACCCCCATGTAACTACCCTGCGACCCCCCTGAAGGATCACGACACCCAGTTTGAGAACCCCTGCTCTAAACTGACAGGAGAGAGCTCTCCCATTGACTTATTTACTCCACCCCTGTGACAGGCAGTAGCTATGTCAGCTGGAGAAACTATCTACATTGGCGCTTAGGTCAGTGTAATTTACATCGCTCAGGGGTGTGGATTATTCACACCCCTGAGCGATGTAAGTTGCAGGGAAGTGGTAGTGTAGACAAACCCAGAGTGTCACAACTGAACAGATAGTAATTAGCACCTACTCTAAGGGACTACTCAAGGTGAAGTGGCCCGTTAACATTTCCTACAGTCATAGCACAAAAAGGGGGGTTAGTGGGTTGTAATAAGACATAAATCCAGTGTCTTTTTAGATCATGATTTTTAGGGTCTAGCAAAGTTATGAATTTCAGCTCCCAGGCTTGTCTTTTGAAAGTGTTGGTCAGATTTCCCTTGAGGATGAGGACTGAAAGGTCAGATATAGACCGATCGTTTTGTGAAAAGTGTTCATCCACAGATTGTGTTGTCTTATTTTCCTGTGTGAGGTCATTTGAGAGCATAGCAATTGTCTGATTTCAAATGGTCCCTTAGAACATGAGCTAACTACGTGTATTAAACTATCTGTTCGAACTTGTATTTAGCTGTGACATGGAGTACCTTTCCCAGACCCGAAGAAGAGCTCTATAGCACGTAAGCGTCTCTCCTCCCAACAGAATTTGGTCCAACAGAGAGACAAGTTGGGTGAGGTAATATCTTTTAATATCCTGGGACCAACACAGCTACAACTATACTGCATATCAAATTGTAAGTCAGCCTCCGATGATATTAAAGCAGGATCTGACGTTTTAATTACTAAGCAAAAAACTTAAGGTTTAAACCAGAGATCAAAGTTAACCAATATTAACATTTTCAATAACAGAGTTCTCTTCATTAGAAGATGACATTCAAGTCACACAAATAGCATAAAGCATGCAAGTTCTTGGATAAAAAATAATATAAAGAGAACTACTGTAAAGATCTGAAAATGTAACTAATTTTTCCACCCAACAGACATCTACACTTGTGGTGTACAAGATGAAACTCAGTCCTACTAACAAATAGTTACTTACCTTCCAGTAACTGTAGTTCTTAGAGATGGATTTTTCCACACACATTCCACTCAGTGTCCATGCGGGTGAGATTGGATTCTTTTGAACATCAATGTCTGCTAAGGCCACACTAGGTGCCTACCGTCAAGGACATGAAGGGTGGGGTGGCTGCAACCCAATAAAATCCTCTAGGAGCAGGAGTCCTATGAGTGGTGATGGAGGGTGCTTTGTAAAATCTGTGTGGACAACACATCTTAAAGAGCCACAGTTACTGTAAGTAACTGTTCTCTCTTCTTTCAGGGATTTGTCCACACATTCTACTCTGTGACTAAAATGGTTGCCCGGAGCTAGGGTGAGCAGAGGCTTACCTGAAGAATAATTGTAGAATCTTCACTACCAAAACTAGTATCCAACTTTGTAGCTTGCATCAGGGAATAATGAGTGGTAACGGAATGGACTGAACTCCATGTTGATGCCCTTCATCTCTCTGATATGGGGATATTACCCAAGTAGGTCACCAAAGGTGCTTGAGCTGTGAATGAGCTTTCATCTGTCCAG